GCAAAAACCTCAGCGAGACCTGGGACACGTTCTGCTACCGGATGAAGGGTGAGAGGGAAGTGGAGGGGGAAAGTGTCAAGTGAAGGGAGTTTACTGAATTAAAGAACAGGCCACACCTGGTTTTCACTCATTGGTCAAAGAGCAAAGATACGTTTATGTCAAATACGTCATTTCTATGATGATTGATGACAAAGTGATGTTTACTGTAAAGGACAAAAAACAGATCTGACCTGGAGAGATGTGGTGGAATTATTTTAGTTTTCTCATTGTCATAGAATCAGTATTTTGTTTTTAACTCAACCTAAATCTGTTTCTTGTCTGATGGTCTCATGATAATTTTTTATTACTTTTATATTTATTACAAAGGTTTAGGTTAGCGCTACTGAACTAAAGGAACAGTGCCCTCTAGTGACAGTATACAAGAAAGAGCAAAAGAGAAAAAACAAAACATTAACAACAAAATGAAGGTCTGATTTTATAGAAGTACTTTGGATGTAGAAAACCTCTTAAACCGCCGCTTTGGCTGCTTCTAATCTGCTCAGATCATTAATACAAATATTAAGGTTTAAACATATGTCAGTATGGACATGCTGCACATGATTATTATTATTGAGTATTATTCTGTTTGAAATAACTAAACTGCTTCATGGTAGTTTCAGTTTTGTGCAAAAGGAATTAAAGGCCTGTCCCAAATATAGGCAGGGTCAATTCAGTGATTTTAGCAAAAAAAGCTATTATTCAAAGTTTTACGGTATATAACAAATATCTTTACAGCTTTTCTACTTGGATTGTGACAGTATAAGTTTTTTCCAAGTGTAATACATTTTAAGGAACAGGAACAGTATGAAATGATTATGTAATTATTGGGAACTGTCCTTACAAGAGGTATTATGAGTTAACATCTCGTGACAATATAACAGCAAGAAGAGAAAAACACAAACGTGCAAAAAACTATTAGGATGAACGAGGATTAAACAGGTCAGAGGTCAATGACAACGAATGTGTTTTGTCAGTTTATCTTTGCGATTAAAAAACTGCCACAGTCATAATTACATTTATAAGAATAAGTATATATATATAATCATAGAGACCAAGTAAAACGTCTTTGAGTGAACTTCACATAACAAACTTGTTTTTCTTGTTATCGTCCGAAATGATGTCGTAACCTAAATTGTGTTGATCCGACGTGTTGTCTGATGTAGTGATCATCAGTAATCAGCTGATATTGTTCTGTTTCAGAGGTGAAGTGTGAGTGTAAACCCGGTTACCTTGGAGACGGTTTCAGCTGTGTAGGAAACCTGCTGCAGGTCCTCGAATCCACACCGACCTCTCCAACTTCCTCACAGTGAGTGCACTCGCCGTCTAACAGTGTTGTTCATAGCCGAGTCACATGACCCGTCACATGCTTAGGAGGTCAGTCTGAGGTCAGATGGGGCTTCATTTTTTCTTCTGCAGCAAATCCTGAACTACTCCCAGGTGTCGGAGTCGGGGAAGCAGTTCGTGAAGCGTCTCAGTGACGTGATGGTCCAGTCCACGCTGTTTGTACCTGACAACAACGGCCTGCCTGCCAACCAGGTGAGTCCCACTCAAAGACCTTACAGCAGGTACTACACCTCTACCTGTTCATGTGTCCTCACCTGTCCATGTGTCCCGCAGACTCTGTCTCAGCGGGCCATTGAGTTCACCTGTCGGAGGGTCAGGCTCTGCTCCTCAGCCAGCTGAAGAACGGCAGTCGGATCAGAACTCGTGTCGGCAGTCTGACCGTCCTCGGAGTCGCGACCTGCTCAACCCCTCTGCTCTGGTCAGTTATTGCTGCTGGACACTAGGGGGCGCCCCGTCCCGTCCCGCCAAACTGTCCTTCAGGCAGGAATTATGAATATCTGGCAGTTTAGATTCAGCTGAGACAGTACAAGCAAACACTAACAGCCGCCTGGTTGGCTGAGACTCAAACGTGCACCAAACATACTTCACTGTCAGCCTGATGTGTTCTTAACGCTACACTGGTTCTAGAAACGGCAGATATTTGAATGAAGTTCTGTGGGGTTCCTTCTGTAGTTAATGTTTTTAACGTCCAGATTCAGGAAGTTTGAAACCTTTGTCGTCTCCTCAGTCTTCCCGTTACATCAACGACCGCTTCATCACAGAATCGGACATCCTGGCTATAAACGGGATCATACATGTTCTCCAGGGACCTCTGAAAGCCCCGCCTCCTCGCCACGAGGTAAGTGATGTCATAATGACGCAGTATTCAGTTTTTTGGTATTCTGAGCGTCTCCATGTCTGAGCGGAGGCCTGCGATTGGTTCTGCAGATGCACGCGGCTCATAAGGCCGGGATGGGAGTCGGGGTGGTGCTGCTGATTGTTCTGGTGGCCGGAGTCCTCTTTGTTGGATACCACTTCTACACCCACAACACTAAGCCCTTCCAGTTCCACTACTTCAAGGTCAGACTGTTGGTAGTTCTAAGTCTGTAGTCTGTCAGTGTGCAGTTGAGACGTAGCTGCTGCCCCGAGGATCAGTAGAAAATGTCCACTGGCACACAAGAGAGTGAAAAACCTGACTTGTTAATATCACTATTCCTTAGTATAAGTAAATTAGTATAAGACATTTATTGGTTTTATACTAACATGTGTTTTACTAAGTAAAACATTAATTTAAGTTTAAGATAAACATTTTTATAACATGTTAGTTAAACATGTTTTACACATTAGGATTAGTACATGCAGTGTAATACTGTCAGTGTCAGTAAAACACATTTGATTAATATAACCTTTCTCAGTTATTATAGATATTCGATGATATTGGTGTAACCTGGTTGTTCTGACAGGAGGATGAAGGGGAGGAAGACGCTCCACCTGCAGACTGCAGTCGCAGCATCTCTAACCCGGTTTACGAAGCGGCTCCAGAACCTGCAGAGTCCAAGACATCTGATGTCACAGTGAGTCAGCAGCTGAGTCGTCGTTTCCTACAGAATCAGTCAATACGTCGTTTGGATCAAAATGTTATTACATTACATTAATAGCTTGCTTTAAACTTAATTCACGTCTTTACAAA